AGGAAGGCTCAAAAATGAGTCGAAACATGTAAGCGCGTTTAGTGAATAAAGAAGTTTCACTCTTTATAAGTGTATTATTTGCGCGACGTCTTTTGCGCCCGACTCCTGCCCTTACTCTTTCCAATAGTTTGATAATTTGCTAAAGTGACCTTCAGAAGGTCAAATGTTGAAAAATCGTCCAGAAGCTGTTTTCTTCAAACTTTAGAACATTTATGGGCGAACAAATGTTTTAGTAGGTTTGGAGGCCAACGACCTTGGCTATTTTGACCTTGAGGTCAAATTTAAAGGTTATTAGAAGGTCAAAGTCCCACTGGCCCACTCGCAAAACTTAATACGCATTTCAACGTGATTTGGCTTTAATTCCTGAAGTAAAGTTATGTGGTATGCATGATATTTAAGATTTCTCAGAATTCGTAAAGCCGTTCTTCGTGGTATACCAATTTCCCTTCCAATTCGGCGACTGCTAATGTGAGGATCGAGATGAATAGCTGCTAGGACAGTCACAACACGATGATCAGTTTCGTTGTATTCATGGCGTCTGCGTTCACGAGTCAGATGTCCACCGCGAGCTCTTTCAGTTAATCTGCGTGTTGTCATGTGATTAGGTCGTCTCCTTAAAGGAAATCTTTCAACGTACAGCCGTGCCGCTGCACGGTAGTTGTTGTGACATTCTCCTAAAACCATTACCATATCAATAATTTCATTAGGAAGATAATCAGCCATAATGAAAATTTTAATTCAAAATGAGACTACTTTGTTAACTTTTAATCTCTATTTTAATTGAAATAAAATGAAAATCAGAAAATCTTGATACTAACAAAACTCAAGAAATAATGAACGGCCAACGTTCCGCGGAGTTCCTCCGAATGATAGAACTCGTATGACATACAAATGTACAGCGAACATATAGGCAGGCAAGGTACTGAAGATGAAATGATTATTATATCGAATCGAATTACTGAGGATGGCCCGAATTGGAGCCGAAACGTCTAGAATTAATAAGTATTATACATAATAAAAATTGTTTCTTTCTCGCACGAACTACCGCAGCTGTGACTCTCATTAGCCCATTAATGTTTATGTTATTTGGCAAGGTACTCTTGTTGAAAAAAAAAACATGTTTGTTTCCACTGGCTCAGTATAGTGTTGGCTAAACTTCGATAGTGCTATCGAATATTATCGATAGTTTTTACTATCGACTACATTCGAATGTTCGGAGAAACTATCGACATTTTATTACCAACCCAACAGGCCCAATAGTACCAACAACCGCCGTTGTCGCCTGCCGAACAGCGCCAGCGACGCCAGCTACCAGCAACAGTCAGTGGTCTGTTCTTTTTAGTTGCATTTCTTGAATGGTTTGGCTTGGTTTAGCTCTTCTTTTGCAGCTAAACAGAACAGACCATTGACTTGGAGTCGGGTCGAGTCGGTTAATCGAAATAAGACGTAAGTAGTAAGCGAATTGGCCAATCATTTTCCAACTCGATATATCGTCTGAAGTTAGTTACTATCAAGTCCATGTTTATAATATAGTCAAAAATCGGAACACAGTCAACAATAACCGAAAACATTTGGTGAGAAGTGAGGTTGTTTTGCGTGCTATATTTAAACACTTTTTTATTGACCTGGCTTTTTCATCGAACCGTTAAGTATAACTTTACTATTATTCAACATGCTTTACGAATGAGAAGGCTCATCAAAGTTAAATTGAGCCGCTGGATTGAAGAATAAAGATATTTAAAAAATTTTTTAAGTCAATTATATAATTTTTTTACAGAAGCATGAAATCTCTGGTATGGAAAATTTTTACCAAAAATAAAGATGGATCTTTCACCAGATGTAATATTTGTAAAAACGAATATAGAACAAGTGGGAACACTTCAAATTTATTGGATCACTGTAAGCGAAAGCACAAATTACAATTAGATAAATTATGGAAACAAAATGATATTGAAATAACAAGTGAATCAGATGCGGACGATTGTGATGATCCGGTTGCTGGCCCAAGTGTAAAGCGACGAAAGGTCACAATAAAAAATTACATGACGAAGCAATATGTTCCTTATGATAAAAATAGCGATCGTAAAATTACATTGGACAAATTATTGGTAGAATATGTAGCACATGATCTTGAACCATTTCGTATAGTAGAACGAGAATACTTTAAACAATTTGTTCACGAGCTAGATAATAAATATGAATTGCCGTCTCGGACGCAATTGAAAGATGTTTTACTACCGCAACTTTACAATCAAATGAAAGCTATCTTGGTCAAAATTCTGTCCACTGTAGATCATATATCTATAACAACGGATATGTGGACGTCTACAGCAAGTGATGGTATTTTGACGATTACGATTCACTTCGTATATGATAATGATATTAAATCAGCGATGCTAGAAACTCGGAAAGAAGTAGGACACCACACGGCAGAGCACATTGCAAAAGTAAAAATCATGATATACATTTATTGAAATAACATGTCTGTTTTAGTTTAACTGATTTAGCTGTTTAGTTATATTTGATTTAGTTATATTTGAAAATAACAAATAGTAGCACAATTCAATAGTCTTAATACAAATCCTTTCAGGAGCTAGACGAGATATTACGAGAGTGGAATATCCATGAGAAAATTTTCGTAATGGTATCTGACAATGCGTCAAATATGATAAAAACTGCTACGATTTTAAAAGTTCGTCATTCAGCGTGTTTTGCACATACGATTAATTTAGTCGCCTTAGATGCATTAGAAACAACGAGTGTGAAACCAATTTTAAAACATGTAAAAGATATTGTCACATATTTCCGATGTAGTACGGTAGCAATGGACAAGTTACGAAATATGCAAAAACAACTTCACAAAAAAGAGTTTAAACTTTTACAAGATACTCCGACAAGATGGAATAGTTCTTTCTACATGATTCAGCGAATATTAAAAGTTCGCGACTCATTATTATTAGCAATGTCAGATTTGCGAAAATCTCCCAATCCTTTGACAGCTGAAGACATATTGATTTTAGAAGATCTAATTTTAATTTTAAATCCTTTGGAATTGGCGACAAAAGATATCTCTGGAAGTCAATACGTGATGATGTCTCTAATAATTCCATTAATAAATGGCATTTCATCAAAATTATATTTTATCGAAAATTCGCTTAAAACTGACGTAGGAAAAGAAGTTTTCGAGAAATTAAAATCCTCAGTAGTAACTCGACTTTATCCATACGAATTAAGAACAACAAATATTATGGCAACGGTATTAGATCCAAGGTACAAAATGCTTGCTTTTAGAAATAATAGCCAAAAAGAAAATGCTGATAGATTATTTCTTAATACTTTGACTGCGGAATTTAATTCTAAACAATATGTAGACGAAAATAAAAACACTGATTCGTGGACGTCAAGCAATTTAGAAGAAAAGGACGATTTACTACACTTTATTGACAATCTTAAAAAAATTACCTACGAGAAATCATCATCAACCGCTGAAGTAATAATATGTACAAAACAATATTTAGAGTTGAAAACTAGTGAACGATCAGATTCTGTATTTCAGTTTTGGAAAAATTATTCATCAGATGTATTAAGATCATTAGCACATAAATTTTTATCAATCCCGGGTTCGTCTGTACCATCCGAACAAGTGTTTTCGAATGCTGGTCTAATTCTTACTGATCGCCGAAATAAATTGAAACCAGAAAAATTAAATATTTTGTTGTTTATACGCCAAAATTCATGGCTAAAATCATACTCTGTAAGTAATTAAAAAATTGTTACAAAGATTATTTTAAACTTATAACATCAATTATGAGTTTATAATAATTTCCATAATAATTCTCTGATTACATATAATATAATGTTATTTTTTATTCTTTACGGCAAACTGCAATGTAATAATTTCTCGTTTAGTACAAAGACCCTGTGATACATTGTATAGTAATATGGTATGTGTAAGACATACAACATGTACTATTGTATGTCATACGTATGATAAATGAAACGATTTGATTGGCTGACGCAAGTTACGCTTACGCAAAGTACGCCGCATGTAAAAGCACCCTAAGGCTGCGTTCCGATATCACTGCTACGTTACGTATACTATAGATTTTTAGCACTATTCATTCACTGGCAGTGAATATTGGAATGCAGCCTAAGTCATATGTCAATTGTTTATTTGTATTAATTACAAAAAAATATATATTACAATGATGGATGTTGCAATGATGATTTCTGATGAAAAAAGTTTGGTCGGAGAAACGTTTTAGCCTCAAATGTATATAGTTTATTATAATAAAATGAATTGAACTATAATTACAATTTACACCGGACACCTTGTATATATAAATTGGACAACTTATTAATTTGTTATTTATCCTATTTTACTTGCTTGGATTACATAGGTTTTGAATTATTTATCACTTTATTTATTATACTTTCTTCTTTTAAGTAAGATAGTTGAATCGGCGAATGGGATTAAATTCGATGTATTAATGGTACAAATTAAAATAATTTTTTTATTACTATCGAAACAGTCGATAGTATCGATATTTTTTCTACTGTCAAAGATCTCTCGATAGTATTTTACTATTCATTCGAAAACTATCGAATAGTTGAACTATCGAGGTTTAGCCAACACTAGCTCAGTATAGTCTTAAATTGCGTCAAATAATTCAAAGAACGCATTAAAATTAATCAGAATTTTTCAGCTACTTAATTGTTTGTTAATTATGATGCAAATTTAATTTTCGATAGTCGGCAAAACAAGTATCAAGATTTTCTTATTTTTATTTTATTTCAATTAAAATAGAGATTAAAAGTTAACAAAGTAGTCTCATTTTGAATTAAAATTTTCATTATGGCTGATTATCCTCCTAATGAAATTATTGATATGGTAATGGTTTTAGGAGAATGTCACAACAATTACCGTGCAGCGGCACGGCTGTACGTTGAAAGATTTCCTTTAAGGAGACGACCTAATCACATGACAACACGCAGATTAACTGAAAGAGCTCGCGGTGGACATCTGACTCGTGAACGCAGACGCCATGAATACAACGAAACTGATCCTCGTGTTGTGACTGTCCTAGCAGCTATTCATCTCGATCCTCACATTAGCAGTCGCCGAATTGAAAGAGAAATTGGCATACCACGAAGAACGGCTTTACGAATTCTGAGAAATCTTAAATATCATGCATACCACATAACTTTTTTTTCAGGAATTAAAGCCAAATCACGTTGAAATGCGTATTGAGTTTTGCCAGTGGGCTTTAAGAATTATAGAAAATGATCCTCAGTTTTTTAGGTATGTGATGTTTTCTGATGAGGCTACATTTAACAGTGATGGTCAACTAAATAGGCACAATTGCCACTACTGGTCCAATGAAAATCCCCACTGGTACAGGACTGTGGACCATCAACATCGATGGAGCGTTATCGTATGTTGTGGCATAATAAACGGTTACCTGATCGGACCTTATGCTTTTGAGGGAAATGTCGATAGATATATCTATTTGGAATTGCTTAGGGATCGATTGCCAGAGCTCTTGGAGGATGTCGATTTAAAAACACGGCAGAGAATGTGATTACAGCAAGATGATGCAGCACCCCACTTTGTGCTAATAGTTCGCAAATTTCTAAATGATAATTATGATAAAGTGGATTGGACGAGGAGGTCCAGTTAACTGGCCTCCGTGCTCACCAGACATGACATCTCCCGATTTCTGTTTATGGGGCTTCTTAAAAGATGTTTTTACACAACGGCCAACAACCAGAGAAGACATGATAGACCGTATTCGTCGAGCCTGCGTTGCAATCCCAAGGAAAACTTTGCTAAGGACAGTGCAACATTTCCAAAGGCGTGTAAATTTGTGTCTTGAAGCTAATGGAGGCAACTTTGAACACTTGCTTTAATATGGTCAGAGGCAAGGGGACTGACGGTAAACAAGCACCCCAATCGTGAGAGGCAAGGGGACTCACGGTAAACAAGCACCCCAAAGGAAACAGAATTTACTACGTCCACGTCGTTGTTCCTGGGTAACGCTAAAAGTAAGATTAGCAAGGAAAGTAAGGTTTTTCATAAAAAAATCACTTTGACCTTCTAATAACCCTTAAATTTGACCTCAAGGTCAAGATAGCCAAGGTCGTTGGCCTCCAAACCTACTAAAACATTTGTTCGCCCATAAATGTTCTAAAATTTGAAGAAAACAGCTTCTGGACGATTTTTCAACATTTGACCTTCTGAAGGTCACTTTAGCAAATTATCAAACTATCATTTCTGACGTAAAATTTCCCGCTCTTTCCGAATCCGGTGTCGAAAATAAGGGTTCTCATTTAAAAAAATTATTTTGACCTTCAAATAACCTTAAAAATTGACCTTAAGGTCAAAACCAATAATGCAGAAAGATGACCAACATTGTCCTGAACAACTTTTGTTTAAACAATTTTTTTGTATAGCGCTTACTTTTGGAGATATTTGGGTGGATCGATTAAAATGGCCCACCCTGTATACAGGGTAACCCATTTTAACTTAGACAGCCATATAACTCGAAACATCGCGATTAAATAAAAAAATGTTTAAAACAAAAATTGTTGGATATGAAGGGGCTGATTGAACTATGA